TCTTTATCTCCCTCTTCCTCTTCCTCCTCCATCCCCCTCATCGCTAATCTCCCTCCCCCATCTAATCTCCCTCCCCCTTCTAATCTCCCTCCCCCTTCTCCTTCACCCGCAGAGATCGTCGAGAACGTGAAAAACGTTAGCCTACATTTTTTTTTTATATTCTCTCTCCTCTTCATTTCTTCCCCTCTCTCTCTCTCTTTATCTCCCTCTTTCTCTTCCTCCTCCATCCCCCTCTAATCTCCCTCCCCCTTCTCCTCCACCCGCAGAGATCGTCGAGAACGTGAAGAACGTAGCCTACATCTTTTTTATATTCTCTCTCCTTCTTCCTCTTCCTCTTTCTCTTCCTCCTCCATCCCCCTCATCGCTAATCTCCCTCCCCCTTCTCCTCCACCCGCAGAGATCGTCGAGAACGTGAAGAACGGAGGCTTCCCCGTCTTCCGCCCAACCATCGAGGACGACACAGCTGAAGAGGAACTGCTGCAGATGATCAAGAGGTGCTGGGCCGAGGAGCCGATGGAGAGGCCAGACTTCCAGCAGCTGAAGACTATTATAAGGAGGCTCAATAAGTGAGTTTGTTTGTTTGTTTGTTTGTTTTTTGTTTGTATGGGGAAGGGGGGGGAGGGGGAAGGGGGAGAACGGTTAAGGGCATCTAAGTGAGTTTGTTTGTTTGTTTGTTTGTTTTTGTATTGGGGGAGAGGGAGGGAGGTGGGGAGGGGGAGGGGAGAGAGAGGGAGGAGAAGGAGGGGAGGAGAGCGGGTTAAAGGGGGACAATAAGTGTTTTTTTTTTTTTTTATTGGTTGGTGGTTATGAGTTTGGGGAGGGAGAGGAGGTGATGTGTGTGTGTGTGTGTATGTGTATGTGTGCGTGCGTGCGTGCGTGCGTGTGTGTGTGTGTGTGTGTGTGTGTGTGTGTGTGTGTGTGTGTGTGTGTGTGTGTGTGTGTGTGTGTGTGTGTGTGTGTGTGCGTACGTACATATATCTGAAAGATGTATTACCCACGTTTTCCAAGAGTTGGAATAGTTCCCATTCCCTCATTCCTAGATAGGGGTAGGGGGGGGGGAGAGGAAGAAAAAAGAGAAAAGTTATGAAAGATTAAGAAAAAAAAAAATCTAGCTTACGGCTATGAAAGGTTAGGGAGAGGGGGATGGGGGGGAAGAGGAAGGAAAGGGGGGGGAGGGTCAAGAGGTTGATAAAGACTATGGAATGTGAGGGAATAGAGACTAAGGGAATGTGCAAGATCATTAGGAATGAAAGTTAGAAATGATATGATGATAATTGTGATGAAATGATGGTGATGATAAGGATATTGATAATAATTATAATGATAATAACAATGATGAAAGTAATAAGAAGAATATTAATAACATTATTGAAATTAATGATGACACTGATAGTATTAATGACTATGATAATAATGATTATGATAATAATGATAATAGTAATGATGATGATGATATTGATGATGATAATAATGGCAATGATAATAACAGTAATAACATTGACGATGGTATTATCAACAACAATAATGGAAAAGATGATAATAATAGTAATAGTAATGATAATGAAATTAATGATAATTGTGATAAAGATAATACTAATGATAGTAATAACAACAACAACAACAACATCAATAGAATGTGAATGAAATTAAGAAAAGAAAATATAAAGGGAAAATGCCTCAATGAAATACATAGAAAGAGACAAATAAACCGAATAAACATGAAGTAACAAAGAAAGGGAAAGAAAGGGGCCGGATATAATAAATAAGCGCGTATGTAAATCGACAGGAAATAAAGAGGGAGAGAAGAAAGAAGAGAGGAAGAGAAGAGGCAAAAGTGAGGATAGAATTTATGGCTGGAAATACGCACAGAGAAAGAGAATGTGGAATGGAACACGAACAGGGAATAATAGGAAAGGGTCAAATGGGAATAAAATGGAAAATAAGAAAATTAATAACAAAATGAAATAGTAGATAAGGAAATGAATGATAAAAAAAATGGAAAATAAGAAAATAGATTTTAAAAATTAAATAGATGAGAAAGTGAATAATAAAACAAAATAGAAAATAAGAAAATAGATGAAAAAATAAATAATGAAACAAAATAGAAAATAACAAAATACAGGAAATAAAAGAAATGTGAATAATGGAATAATGCAAAGAGGGGGGAGGAGGAAAAAATAAAAGGAAGGGGGAAAAAGAACAATAAAAAGGAATTGGAAGAGTAATAAAATTCTCAAGTAAAACAACAAAGAAATAGAGTCAATCCTTTGAGACTGAGTCCTCGGAAGCCCCAGGTGGAGAGAAAAGTAAAGAGGGGGGGAGGGGGAGGGGAGCCAGGGAGAAACCAACGAAAAAGTGTCCTGGGAAGAGGGGGAGAGGGAGAGAGAGGGAGAAGGAGAGGAAGAAGAGAGAGAAGAGGAAGAAAGTAGACATACAAAAAGATACTGAGATACTATTTATGTATAGATGGATAGAGACAGAGAGAGAAGGAAGACAGAGAGAGAAGAGACAGAGAGAGATGAGAGAGAGAGAGAAAGGAAGAAGTGGCAGACAAAAAGATGCTGAGATATTATATATGTATATAGATAGATGGATAGAGACAGAGAGAGAAGGAGGGAGAAGAAAGAGAGAGAGAGAGAGAGAGAGAGAGAGAAAGAGAAGGAGGAAGAGAAAGAAAACCAACCAAAGCTAACCACAAAAGCCCATACACCTTCAGGGTATAAAGGAAAGATTGACCCCTACACTCTTACAACCCTCACCCCTTCCCCAACCCCTCCCCCCCCAATCCCACTCCCCAACCCCTTCCCCTCCCCTCAACCTCCCTCCCTACCCCCTCTGGCCCCACACCCAACACCGGTTAACCATTATTTGCTCTACATTGTTCCAGAGACAATGAATCGGGAAATATCTTGGACAACCTCCTGTCTCGCATGGAACAGTACGCCAACAACTTGGAGGTCTTGGTCCAGGAGCGAACAGCAGACTATTTCGAAGAGAAGCGCAAATGCGAGGAACTTTTGTACCAACTCCTGCCGAAGTAAGTGGAACAGTGTCCTCTTTAACGGGATCTTTAGGCACTTAAGGGGGTCGTCTAAGGAAAAACAGATGATCCCCTTAAGTGCGGTCTGAAGGTAAGGGACTTGGGTAGAGTGTAGGTAGGGAGATGAAGTGCAGGAGGTGTTGTTATAGTCTAAGGTGATTCAAGTACTGTGTATGTACGTTATGTACATGGATTAAGTACACTGTATGTATGTAATATTAAAGTGTGATAATGATGATAATTATAATGATGATAATAATAATGATAATAATAATAATAATAATAATAATAATAATAATAATAATAATAACAATAATAATGATGATAATAATAATAATAACAATAATAATAATAATAATAATAATAATAATAATAATAATAATCATGATAATAGCAATAATAATAATAAGAAGAAGAAGAAGAAGAAAAAGAAGAATCAAAATAATACTGATCTTTTAGTCGTTGATATTAAGAGAATATAGAACTTAGGGGAACTTCAGAAGAAACGTTAATTTCACATTTTCCTCAAAATGAAAATACATCTTCTTACGGTGTGCTTCATCTACCACACGTTGGACTGGGTATAACGTATAGTTGAGTATCAGTAATTATAGAATGATAATTATAGACTGGTGATTCTGCGTGTTGACGATCACATATTTATGACGTGTATTAAATATCTTGCATTTTTTCATATCTACACATTCAGCATTTATCAGTCAGCTGTTTATCTTCCTATCATTTCTATTTTCAGGAATTTTGCATTTGTGAATCATATATTCTAAGTATATTTATAGGTTTCCTTGAGCAAATGGTAAAAAAAAAAAAAAAAAAAAAAAAAAAAAAAAAAAAAAAAAAAAATATATATATATATATATATATATATATATATATATATATATATATATATATTATTAATCGAGGTATTTTATTTGCATTTATAAGTTTCCTTGGGCTATTGGTAAAATATATATATATTATCGAAGTAAACTAAAACAGTGAAAGCATAAATAAAAAGGAAAAATTTTGTATTTGAAAGACATCTTGACTAATGCCTATTGTCTATACTTTTAGAAATTTTGGTTTTCAGAAATATGTTGTTTTAGCGTAAAGTCCACAGGTATTATTGGAATTTAACGACTATGGTACTGTTTAATTTAGTTTGTTTGTTTTTTTACTGTTGCAAATTGTTTAATCAAGATAACACATTGTTGGTGAAAACGAATCACTTTATGCTAATGTTCAATTATCTTCGCTGATGTTATTAACTTTAAGAAATATATATGCATATAGTGATGATACTAATAATGAAGCTACAAAAAGCAAAGTATTTTATTATTTGAATTAAATAACAAAAACAAAAAAAAATCTCACGAGTTTCCTCCGATATTATAGATCTGTGGCCAGTCAGCTGATCGAAGGCAAGAGCGTCATGGCAGAAACCTATGACTGTGTCACGATTTACTTCAGTGACATCGTCGGATTCACAGCGCTCTCGGCCCAGTCCACGCCGCTGCAGGTAAACAACAACGATCTGTGTGTGTCTGCTTATTGATCGATAGATGTGGATAGATAGATAGAGGGACAGATAGATAGATAGATTGATTGATTGACTGATAAGTTGTTAAAATGACAGATAGATAGGATATATACATATATATACATATACATGTGTATGTGTGTGCTTGTGTGTGCGTGCGTGCGTGTTTGTGTGTGTGTGTGTGTGTGTGTGTGTGTGTGTGTGTGTGTGTGAGTGTGTGTGTGTGTGTGTGTGTGTGTGTGTGTGTGTGTGTGTGTGTGTGTGTGTGTGTGTGTGCGTGTGCATAAATAGGTTGGATATAAATAGAAAATTGAGATTCTAAACAGAAAACTCATTTCATACACCAGTAGTTAGGATTACACTGAAATAGATGGGCTACTCCATACATAGAAAGCTACATTTGGACTCAGATATAAGCTAGGTGTACTTAGAAAGACCTTGTTATATACTTATATATAGGTATACAGCTTTCTAGGGTATAGACATAAGGTTATAGATATAAACTAGATTTATCCCTAGGTCGCTCACTTTATACGTAATTCGATTTATAAATAGATAAAGTTATTAAATGATGTCTAAGGGTATGTTGACTTTGTCATATTCATACAATAACAAAAACACACTTTTTCGTATATCTCGTATCTTTATCTCCAATTAAATTGTATTTTCTTCCAACAGGTCGTGGATCTTCTTAATGATTTGTACACGCGTTTTGATGCCATCATTGAGAACTTTGACGTGTATAAGGTAAGGATAAGTTGGCTCTAAAGTCCTGCATGTCTAAGAGTGTGTGTGCGAACCTCGATAAAACGAACTTTGTTTTTCGTGTCTTGTGGGTCTAAAACCTCGTGTGTGTGAACCTTGATAAAACGAACTTTGTGAACCTTGATAAAACGAACTCTGTTTCGTGTCTTGCGTGTCTAAAACCTCGTTTGTGAACCTTGATAAAACGAACTTGTGAACCTGATAAAACGAACTGTTTCGTGTCTTGCGGGTCTAAAACCTCGTGTGTGTGAACCTTGATAAAACGAACTTTGACGAATTGATTTTCGTTCTCGTGTGTTGCAGCTCTAAAGGTTGTGTAGTGCGAACCGTGTTAGCTCGGAAACTGTCGGTAAATTAACGTAGAGAACGGAAGGGAACGTAAAAGACCAACGTAATTCGACTAAAATATCTTGAATTACGATCCACGATGAAAAAGCCGAAAATAATTAAAAATTAGCTTACAGTAGTGGAACCAGTATTATGGCGCAATATCACAGACGGAGAAAGGATCGATAAGGAAGTGATGTTAACGTACTGTTGTTTTTTTTAACCAGCTGTTGAGTTTTATTGTTGTTTTTGAAGCCAGCTGTTGACTTTTGTTGTTGTTTTATTGGCGTTTTGAAGCCAGCTGTTGAGTTTTGTTGTTGTTTTGAAGCCAGCTGTTGAGTTTATTGGTTTTGAAGCCAGCTGTTGAGTTTTATCGTTGTTTTTGAAGCCAGCTGTTGAGTTTTGTTGTTGTTTTTGAAGCCAGCTGTTTGAGTTTTTATTGATGTTTTTGAAGCCAGTGTTGAGTTTTATTGACGTTTTTGAAACCAGCTGTTGATCTTTATATTTTGAAACCAGCTTTTGACTATAATTGATATTCTTGAAACCAGCTTGATCTACATATTTTTGAAACCAGCTGTTGACTTTTATGATATTTCTGAAACCAGCTGTTGACTTTGTTGATGTTTTTGAAGCTAGCTGTTGACTTTTATTTTTGAAACTAGCTTTTAACTTTCATTGATGTTTTTGAAGCCAGGTGTTGACTTTTATTGATGTTTTTGAAACCAGCTGTTGACTCTTATTGATGTTTTTGAAGCCAGCTGTTGACTTTTATTGATGTTTTTGAAACCAGCTGTTGACTCTTATTGATGTTTTTGAAGCCAGCTGTTGACTTTTATTGATGTTTCGAAACCAGCTGTTGACTTTTATAGATGTTTTCGAAACCAGCTGTTGACTTTTATTGATATTTCTGAAACCAGCTGTTGACTTTTGTTGATGTTTTTGAAGCTAGCTGTTGACTTTTATTTTTGAAACTAGCTTTTAACTTTCACTGATGTTTTTGAAGCCAGGTGTTGAGTTTTATTGATGTATTTGAAACAGCTGTTGACTCTTATTGATGTTTTTTGTTGACTTTTATTGATGTTTTCGAAACCAGCTGTTGACTTTTATTGATGTTTTTGAAACCAGCTGTTGACTTTTATTGGCGTTTTTGAAACCAGCTGTTGACTTTTATTGGCGTTTTTGAAACCAGCTGTTGACTTTTGTTTTTGAAACCAGCTGTTGACTTTTATTGGCGTTTTGAAACCAGCTGTTGACTTATTGGCGTTTCGAAACCATTGACTTTTATTGCGTTTTTTGAAACCAGCTATTGACTTTTATTGGCTTTTTTGACGCGTTTTTGAAACCAGCTGTTGACTTTTATTGGCGTTTTTGAAACCAACTGTTGACTTTTATTGGCGTTTTTGATACCAGCTGTTGACTTTTATTGGCGTTTTTGAAACAGCTGTTGACTTTTATTGGCGTTTTTGAAACCAGCTGTTGACTTTATGGCGTTTTTTGAAACAGCTGTTGACTTTTATTGGCGTTTTTGAAACCAGCTGTGACTTTTATTGGCGTTTTTTGATACCAGCTGTTGACTTTTATTGCGTTTTTTGAACCAGCTGTTGCTTTTATTGGCGTTTTTGAAACCAGCTGTTGACTTTTATTGGCGTTTTTGAAACCAGCTGTTGACTTTTATTGGCGTTTTTGAAACCAGCTGTTGACTTTTATTGACGTTTTTGAAACCAGCTGTTGACTTTTATTGGCGTTTTTGAAAGCTGTTTGACTTTTATTGGCGTTTTTGAAACCAGCTGTTGACTTTTATGGCGTTTTTGAAACCAGCTGTTGACTTTTATTGGCGTTTTTGAAACCAGCTGTTGACTTTTATTGGCGTTTTTGATACCAGCTGTTGACTTTTATTGGCGTTTTTGAAACAGCTGTGACTTTTATTGGCGTTGAAACCAGCTGTTGATTTTTTGGCGTTTTTGAAACCAGCTGTTGACTTTATTGGCGTTTTTGAAACCAGCTGTTGACTTTTTATTGGGTTTTTGAAACCAGCTGTTGACTTTTATTGGCGTTTTTGAAACCAGCTGTTGACTTTTATTGGCGTTTTTGAACCAGCTGTTGACTTTTATTGGCGTTTTTGCAGCTGTTGACTTTTATAGATGTTTTTGTTGACCCAGCTGTTGACTTTTTGCGTTTTTGAAAACCGCTTTTGACTTTTATTGGCGTTTTTTGAAACCAGCTTTGACTTTATTGGCGTTTTGAAACCAGCTGTTGACTTTTATTGGCGTTTTGAAACCAGCTGTTGACTTTTATTGGCGTTTTAAACCAGCCTGTTGACTTTATTGGCGTTTTTTTAAACCAGCTGTTGACTTTTATTGGCGTTTTTGAAACCAGCTGTTGACTTTTATTGGCGTTTTTGAAACCAGCTGTTGACTTTTATTGGCGTTTTTGAAACCAGCTGTTGACTTTTATTTGACTTTTACGTTTTTGAAACCAGCTGTTGTTTTTGAGACTTTTATTGGCGTTTTTGAAACCAGCTGTTGACTTTTATTGGCGTTTTGAAACCAGCTGTTGTTTGTTTTTGAAACCAGCTGTTGACTTTTATTGACGTTTTTGAAACCAGCTGTTGACTTATATTTTTTACTGATGTTTTTGAAGGCAGCTGTTGACTTTTATTGATATTTTTGAAACCATTTGTTGACTTATATTTTTTTAAACCAGCTGTTTTAGAAACCAGCTGCTGACTTTTTTTTAATGTTTTTGAAGACAGTTGTTGACTTTTATTGACTCATTTTAAACCAGCTTTTGACTTTCATTAATATTTTTGAAACCAGCTGTTTCTCTTATGGAGCCCGTATACCAAAACATTTTCAAGCATAGGGTTATAGAGTAAATTATATATGTGAACATTTTATACATATGTGTGTGTGTATGTGTGTGTGTGTATTATGTATATATTACGTAGCGATTAATCGTATCAGAATGAAGTAGTTTTTTATTGCCCGACAGAAGAACAGAAAATAAAATTACGAAAACTCTGTACTTTTGATGGCCGTAGGTAATAATAAATGATATATGGTTAAGTTTACATTTATTTTTCTTTCTTATAATTTGGTTGTTGTCCTTATGTGATTTTTCATGTTAATTTTCATTTTGATTTTGACAATGAAGTTTATTTTTGATTTCGATTCGATTTTTTAATATTTACATAAATATTATTTAATATATACATAAAAAAAGCAATATTTTACATAATTCATAAAACAGCATATTTTTTTCTTTATTTTAATAACATTTTTTAAAAACAGTAATATTTATTAAAAAAACCCAAAACATTTAAAACAAGGTTAAAAACTTTTTTAATTATTTTTACAT